CATTCTTCAAGAAAAAAAATACAACCAATTTCTTTTTCTTTTGTAAAAATGAAAAATATGAATCCGGGTCGTCTTCTTTGTCTTATTGTTTTTATCTTCCTCGTTGTTTTATCTAAAGCTTCAAGAATTCACGTTGAAAAACGAAGCTTCTCCTCCCAACCTTATAGCCAAGAAAGTGGGTTTCTCCCTTCTCCATCCACCTTGCCCGTCGTCGGCGCCGGAGAAATCATACCGGAGAAACGGAAGGTTAAGACTGGATCAAACCCTTTACACAACAAACGATGAAGACAAAATCAGATAATTAGTTTCCATACACTATCTCTTCTTGTCTCTCTTTGTTCTTAACCACAGATTAATGTAGGATTTATACAATAATCTGTTTTTTGTTCAATTTCTTCTCAATATTTTGATGTTTATAAGATTATAGAGTGTGGATCATACTATACTGTAAATATAGCTTTTGTTCGTCGTATTTATTTTTACATTGAAGAACATAAAAGATGCGAGGAACATATGTAATAATGGCTTTTTATTTCATCGGATTTGGACCAAAAACGTAATTAATTGCTTTTCTTCTCAAATTTGTACCAATTTGTTTTTTTTTTAAAGTAAAAATCAATATTGGATTGAGACGACGACGTTTTGCGGCAAAGGCATAATAACAGACTCTGATGCGTCTCTCTCTCTTTCTCCGGCGAGAAATCTCAGTTTTGTTTGCAAAAATTTCAACTTTTTTAATTGTTTTGTTTATCCGACCGATCAAAACAAAGAGATACGAAACAATGAGTACTGGAAAACTCTCGAGGTTGTTTAATGACTTAGGACAGAAACAGAGTTCTCTGATTCTTAATTCTGACTTAGAAACAGCGAGAAAGATCACCCGGTCTATATTGATAGCCGGTGTCGGAATACTTCAATCGGATCCTTCGCTTCTCTTAACGTTAAATTCAAATGTAACCCGACTCGTTCTCTCCGAGCCTAATCTTCCTACTCAATCCTGCATCGGTTTCTTCAACTTTCTCCAGCGATTTGAGTCGCGGTTTAAACCCGCTCTCACGGCGGTAGTAACCTTATCTCACCGGCTTTATTCCGATCATAAGCTTAAAACCATGTGCTCTCTGTTGAATTCTGTTGCTATTGACGGGTTTTACGAGCGTCCGATTGAGAGTTTGGGATTAGCGATGGTTGATTGTGGCTATACCGAAGAAAAGTTTGAATTTTTGGAAAAGTTTTTCGATTTGATGTTTAGGGTTTATGCGGATAATAGAATGTTCGAAGAGAGTGTGAAGATCTTCGATTACATTTTGAGTAAAGGGTTGAGTATAGAGGAGAGATCATGCATTGTTTTTCTGATAGCAGCGAAGAAAAGCGGGAAAATTGATCTCTGTTTGGAGTTTTTTAGGCGAATGGTGGATTCTGATGTGAAGATCACTGTGTATTCGTTGACGATTGTGGTCGATGGTTTATGCAGAAGAGGAGAAGTCGAAAAGAGTATAGATTTGATAGATGAGATCTCTCGTAAAGGAATCAAACCTGAAGCATTTACTTATAACACCATTATCAATGCTTATGTGAAACAGAGAGATTTTTCTTCTGTAGAAATGGTTCTCAAGGTGATGAAGAAGGAGAAAGTGGCGTATAATGCAGCTACGTATACAATTTTGATTGGAATGGAGATGAAGAAGGGGAGATTGGTTGATGCAGAGAAACTGTTCGATGAAATGGGTGAGAGAGGAATAGAATCAGATATCCATGTGTATACTTCTCTTATTAGTTGGAATTGTAAAAAGGGGGATATCAAAAGAGCGTTTTTGTTGTTTGATGAATTGATAGAGAAAGGTCTTTCACCGAGTAGTCATACGTATGGGGCGCTTATCGATGGTGTATGTCGTGTTGGGGAAATGAGTGCAGCTGAGATATTGGTTAGAGAGATGCAGTGCCGTGGGGTTAACATCACTCAAGTGGTATTCAATACTTTGATTGATGGGTACTGCAGAAAAGGAAGTATTGATGATGCATTAAGCATTTATGATGTAATGGAGAAGAAAGGGTTTCAAGCTGATGTTTTTACTTATAACACGATTGCTAGTTGTTTAAGTAAATCGAAACGATATGATGAGGCGAAGCAATGGCTGTTCAGGATGATTGATAGAGGCGTGAAGCCTAACACGGTTTGTTATACTAATTTGATCGATATTTACTGCAAAGAAGGGAACTTTAAAGAGGCAAAGAAGGTATTTGAAACGATGAGCATCAAGGGAGAACAACAACCTAATGTTGTCACTTACAATGTGATGATCGACGCGTACTGCAAGCAAGGGAAAGTAAAGGAAGCTCAGAAACTAAGGACTAACATGGAAGCCAAAAGGATGCTGCCGGATTCATTTACTTACACGTCGCTCATACTTGGGGAATTCATTTCCGGTAACATGGATGAAGCAACGAGACTATTTAAGGAAATGGGTTTAAAGGGCATAGTCCAAAGAGATGTAACGTATACCGCGATGATCTCAGGTTTTTCCAAGGCTGGAAAATCGAACGAAGCATTTGGATTGTACCGCGAAATGAAAAAGAAAGGGTACGAAATAGATAACAGGGTTTATACTGCACTTGTTGAAAGTTTGCATTCACCTCGGACTAAAAATGAAACATAGTTGATGGTTTCTTTGAAGCAGAACCGTTGCTTTGGGGATTATGGACAAAATGTTGTCCATGTGATTCAAATCAGTGGCCACTGAATTTCGACTTGGTGAGAAAGTAAAGTTGGTCTCTTTTCTTCAACTTCTGTGGTTAAAAGTCAAAAAGAGCTTCTCTACAAGAAAGTGGAACATATCCAATCTTCTTCTCTCTTCAAACTTCTTGATCACCAAGGCTGGTAAAATCGTTTTTTAATCCCTA